GTTCCAAATTGGGAAAGGAGCATTTCAAGGCTCTATTTTGTCACCCTGCTTATTTAACTTCTATGCAGAGTACATCATGTGAAATGCTGGGCTGGATGTAGCACAAGCTGGAATCAAGATTGCTGGAAGAAACATCAACAACCTCAGATATGCAAATAACACCACCCTAATGGCACAAAGCAAAGAGGAACTAAAGAGCCTCTTGATGAAGATGAAAGAGGAAAGTAATAAAAATTGGCTTAAAACTCAACATTCAAAAAATTAAGATTATGGCATCTGGTCGCGGCACTTCATGGTAAATAGATGGGGAAACAATGGAAACAGTGACAGACTTTATTTTCTTGGGCTCCAAAATCACTTTGGACTGTGACTGCAGCCACAAAATTAAAAGATGCTTGCTCCTTGGAAGAAAAGCTATGACCAACCTAGACAGAATATTAAAAAGCTGAGACATCATTTTGACGACAAAGATCAATAAATCGAAGCTACGATTTTTCCAGTAGTCATGTATGGCTGTGAGAGTTGGACCATAAAGAAAGCTGTTGTTGCTCAGTCCCTCAGTCAATCCAACGTTTTGCAACCCCATGGACTGCAGCACGCCAGGCCTCCCTGTCCATCACCAACTCCGAGTTTACTCAAACTCAGGTCCATTGAGTCAGTGATGCCATCCAACCATCTCATCCTCTGTCTATCACCCTTCTCCTCCCGCCTTCAATCTTTCCCAGCATCAGGGTCTTTTACAGGGTCAGTTCTTTGCATCAGGTAGCCAAAGTACTAGAGCTTCAGCTTCAGCATCAGTCCTTCCAATGAATGTTTGGGATTGATTTCCTTTAGGATTGACGGGGTGGATCTCCTTGCAGTCCAAGAGACTCTCGAGAGCCTTCTCCAACAACACAGTTCAAAAGCATCTATTCTTCTTTAAGGTCCAACTCTCACATCTATACACGACTACTGGAAAAACCATAGCTTTGACTACACGGACCTTTGTTGGCAAAGTAATGTCTCTGCTTTTGAATATGCTGTCTAAGTTTGTTGTTTGTTGTTTGAATATGCTGTCTAGCTTTTGTTCCAAGGAGGAAGTGTCTTTTTTAATTTCATGGCTGCAGTCACTGTCCGAAACGATTTTGGAGCCCAAGAAAATAAAGCCTGTCACTGTTTCAATTGTTTCCCCATCTATTTGCCATTAAGTGATGGGACCAGATTCGATGATCTTAGTTTTTTGAATGTTGAGTTCTAAGGTAGCTTTTTCATGCTCCTCTTTCACCTTCATTAAGAGTCTCTTTAGTTCCTTTTTGCTTTCTGCTATTAGGTTGGTACCATCTGCATATCTGAGGTTATTGTTATGCAGATAAAGAAGGCTGAGCAACAAAGAATTGATGCTTTTAAACTGTGGTGTTGGAGAAGACTCTTGAGAGTCCCTTGGACAGCAAGGAAATCAAATCAGTCAATCCTAAAGGAAATCAACCCTGAATATTCACTGGAGGTGTTCAGTTCAGTTCAGTCGCTCAGGCGTGTCTGACCCTTTGTGACCCCATGGACTGCAGCACGCCAGGCCTCCCTGTCCATCACCAACTCCCAGAGTTTACTCAAACTCAGGTCCATTGAGTCAGTGATGCCATCCAACCATCTCATCCTCTGTCCATCCCTTCTCCTCCCACCTTCAATCTTTCCCAGCATCAGGGTCTTTTCCAGTGAGTCAGTTCTTCGCATCAGGTGGTCAAAGTATTGGAGTTTCAGCTTCAATGTCAGTCCTTCCAATGAATATTCAGGACTGATTTCCTTTAGGATTGACTGGGTGGATCTCCTTGCAGTCCAAGGGACTCTCAAGAGTCTTCTCCAACACCACAGTTCAAAAACACCACTGGAAGTGTAACAAGAGGGAAAGGGGCAGGGCACTACTTTTGAAAGAGTGACATAGCCCAAGGACACAACATAAACCAATTAGGATCAAATGGGAACAAGATGGCAAAGGAGACTAGATCTTGATCCTCAATCAGCAAGTGAAATGACACACCCAGAGGTGCCCTGACAGTTCCAAGGCACTGTCAAAAGACCACGGAGTGGGTGGTGGCCTAAATCCTAAAAATCTCCACCCCTTCCCAAAAATAGTTGGCATAATCCTCCCACTCATTTGCATATGAAATTACCCAGCCTAAAAAAAAAAAAAACTATGGTGTTGGAGAAGACTCTTGAGAGTCCCTTGGACTGCAAGGAGATCCAACCAGTCCATCCTAAAGGAGATAAGTCCTGGGTGTTCATTGGAAGGACTGATGTTGAAGCTGAAACTCCAATCCTTTGGCCACCTGATGTGAAGAGCTGACTCATTTGAAAAGACCCTGATGCTGGGAAAGATTGAGGGCAGGAGGAGAAGGGGACGACAGATGATGAGATGGCTGGATGGCATCACTGACTCTATGGATATAAGTTTGAGTAAACTCTGGAGTTGGTGATGGACAGGGAGGCCTGGTGTGCTGCAGTCCATGGGGTCACAGAGAGTCAGACACAACTGAGCAACTGAACTGAACTGACTTATAAAAACTAACCACACTCTGTCTGTGGAGTGTACTTCTCTCTGAATCTGAATAAATCCACATCTTACCTATTACTTTGTCTCTCACTGAATTCTTTCTGTGATGAGACATCAAGAACCTGAGCTTCATTAGGCCCTGAAACCAGGTACTGTGGGTTTTGGCTGGGTTCGAGTCCCAGCCACATGTATTCGAGTCCCAAACTGGGTTTTGCTGGGTTCAAGTCCCAGCCACATGGGTTCAAGTCCCAAGCAGGATTTTGTCTGCTGAATCAGTCCTGAATATTCATTGGAAGAACTGATGCTGAAGCTGAAGCTCCAACACTTTGGCCACCTGATTCGAAAAGTCTCTGGACTTTCTGGAAAAGAGAAAACTCACTGGAAAAGACTCTGATGCTGGGAAAGACTGAGGGCAGGATAAGAAGGGGACGACAGACCGTGAGATGGCTGGATGGCATCACCAACTCAATGGACATGAGTTGGCACAAACTCCGAGAGATGGTGAAGGACAGGGAAGACTGACATGCTGTAGTCCATGGGGTTGCAAAGAGTCAGACACAACTTAGTGACTGAAGAACAATAACAGCCATGGATGGGAGAGAAGGGAAGAAGACTTAAGGGCAGAGACAGCCTTGAGCTCTACCTGGATGAATGGGACCAGGCTGGCCTCTCCGGCCTGCTGAATACAAAGAACAGTGGAAGTTCTTGGGAAGCTGGGCCCTTCCAAGGAACAAGTTTAGAGGCGGAAGAGCTGAAGTGGGGAGGCGGGGGGGACACCAAGCCCAAGGGTATAAGAAGGCCCCTGAAAGGAGGAGCGGTCCCAAGGAGGCTGTGGGAGGAAGGAATCCTAGCCATGGAGGCCGAGTTGTCAACAAGGTTACAAAGTGGCTAATGATGTCAAATGCCGCTTCGTGGTCCGGAGGACTTAACACAGACGCAGAGCACTGCACTCTGTGACCTCACACTGTCCGGGGAGACTTCCCACCACCACCACCACCCACAGGAGGCTTTTCCAAAAGCAGTGAGAAGGGACAGAAGCAGGACTCCGTGAGGGCGTCTACACTAGGCTCCCAAACGCAGCACATTTCCACCCACAGCACCCCGTCCCCTCTAGTTCTCTGGGAGGCAGGACGCTTAGCTACTGGATCAAAGGCAGGCAATGCTTGGGACACACTTGGCACTAAAGAAATGCTTGGTTAGCAGAGATCTAAACTGAACTGGGCTTCCTGGGTCACAATATGGGAACCCCAGCAACCCCAGGAGGCTATGCCTTCCCCAAAGCTTGGAGGCAGCTCAGCCGCACAAGTGGAGACTTTGCTGCTGGCTGCTCCCACCTGCCTCCTCATGCCCGTGGGGAAGAGGACCTCAGAGGCAGTGGGGAAGAGGACCTCAGAGGCAGTGAGGTTCACGGGGTGGCTCCTCCTGCCTCCCAGACCTGTTTTCTCATGGAAAAAGGACAGGGTGGGGACAGTAGGAGGCTTCCATGTCCTTCTTCAGTGATTTTTTTTTTTTTTAGCCACAAGCACATATTACTTTTATAATGAGCAACAAAGAATAAAGACATTTTCAAGTTGAAAATAAAATGAGGCTGCAGGAGACCAGCCCATCTCTGAGGACCCGTCCAAAGCTAAGATGCTGCAATTCTAACTAATTTCCTGTTCTTTATTTGCTTGCCCTGTGAGGAGCATTTGGTGAAGCAGCCTTGTGTTGGGGGTGGGGGATATGCTTGTATTCCCCCCACAGATGCTGGACCCAGCTGGCTGGCCCCGGACGTATGTTGCCAGGCTGTGGGACATATCATCTTCCCAATGTCCCCACTCTGGGAGGTCACCTGGTGTGACGGGGCCTCGCCCAAAGCTCTGGGCTCATTCCTGGCCTGGAAGACTTCCCAAATGACCTGTTCTAAAGCCACAGAAAGGGCTTGGGTATGGGCTCTGTGGGAGACTCCTGGACCCCCATCGGAGCAGTCCTGGAGTTCTAGGGAGTTTGTTGTGGTTTAACAAATCCTGGAAAGGGGGAGTTGTGGCCCCACGCCCAGGGCCCACTGCTTCCTTCCCAGCACAGGAGAACTCCCTCCCTAGTACGAGCCCCACTGGGGGGTCTCAGGGCAGGACAGAACACCCCCACCCACAGCCAGTACTCGAGGAGCTCGGAGAAGAGTGAGGACCCCCGCGGGGCTCAGTCAAGCCTGGGTGGGACCCCAGCTCCACCTAGCTTCGGCCCTGTGACCTTGGGCGAGGCCCTTAGCGGAGGCCAGGCCATCCTGAGATAAAGAGGCCAAGAAGGCAACGCCCCCAGCCCCGCCCAGGTGGTGGGGAGCAGGAGAGGTCTCACAAACCGCAGTGTAATCTGTTTAATCCTGGGAGGGTCCAGAGGCTGCCCTTCGGCCAAAGGAGCTTTCCAATCTGCAATTCCCCCACAGGCCCCGGTCGGCTCTGAAAGTTTCCCCACCCGCAAAGCGTCCCCTCGGGCGTTAGTCCAGGCGAGAGTCACTACCAGCCGCTGCAGCGGGGGACTGGTCTCCCAGCTCTGGCGCGCCAGGCTGGCCCACGACCTTGGAGGAACCCTGGAGAGAAAGCTTCACCGACAGTACTTTTCCACTGCACTGCTCGGCCACCTCGGATGGCTTTCTGCTGCGCAGATAGGAGGCGAAGGGAGCCAGGCCGGCCCCGGGAGGAACCCACCCGAACTCGCGCTCAGAGATGCGGGGAGGCAGGAGCTGCGGGTAAGGGGCAGTGGGCATCCGAGAAACAGGAGGGGGGCACCGAACCCTCCCAGAGGGGCTGAGGGCGACCTGAGAAACTTGCACTGTCAAAGTCCTTGGGTCGATTTCAAGCGCTTTCTGCTCCTTGACCTCCGACAATAATGATTAAACCCGACCCACCGCGCCTGTGCCGGGTCTCAGGCGAAGAGCCCCGCTGGCCGGCGCGGGGGGAGGAGACGGAGGAGGGGACGAGAGAGCTAGCGGTCCCGCCCGGTGATGTAGGCAGCCGGGGGAGGTGGAGCCGCGACGCCTGGAGGAGTCCCCACCGCAGTCGCGGCTCTCGGTCTACCCCTCCGAGCAGCCAGCCTCCAGCCCCGGCTCCGGCGACCTCCCCGCCGCCGCAGTTGGGCGGCAGGGACCTCGGGGTGTCCCCCTCTTCGGATCTGGGGGGGCGCGTCTCGACCCCGCCCAGCCCCTGCCCCTCCTGGCTTCCCGGACGGCTGGAGCGACTCCCGGGGGAAGCTGTTCCCGGACGCTCAGGGCCGTCGCCCGGGCATCTCGGCTGCCAGCCCGGCTGGGCACCGGGCATCTGCGAAGCCAGCTAGCCCTGCCTGGCACTGGGCATCTGCGGGCACCGATTGTCCCCGGCGCCGCCCAGCTTCTCGAACGCCCTGGGCCGCGGGGTTAGAGGCGCGCTCCCCTCCCCCGGCAGCCGGGCCGGCCGCCCGCGAGCTCCCGGCGCCCCCAGCCCCTCGGGCCGCCGCCGCCGCGATGCTGCCCTGGAGGCGTAACAAATTCGTGCTGGTGGAGGACGACGCCAAGCGCAAGGCCAAGAGCCTGAGCCCCGGGCTCGCCTACACGTCTCTGCTCTCCAGCTTCCTGCGCTCCTGCCCGGACCTGCTGCCCGACTGGCCGCTGGAGCGCCTGGGCCGCGTGTTCCGCAGCCGGCGCCAGAAAGTGGAGCTCAACAAAGAGGACCCGACCTACACCGTGTGGTACCTGGGCAACGCCGTCACCCTGCACGCCAAGGGCGACGGCTGCACCGAGGACGCCGTGGGCAAGATCTGGGCGCGCTGCGGGCCGGGCGGGGGCACCAAGATGAAGCTGACGCTGGGGCCGCACGGCCTCCGCATGCAGCCGTGCGAGCGCAGCAGCCCGGGGGGCCCCGGGGGCCGCCGGCCGGCGCACGCCTACCTGCTGCCGCGCATCACCTACTGCGCGGCGGACGCGCGCCACCCGCGCGTCTTCGCCTGGGTCTACCGCCACCAGGCGCGCCACAAGGCGGTGGTGCTGCGCTGCCACGCCGTGCTTCTGGCGCGGGCGCATAAGGCGCGCGCCCTGGCCCGCCTGCTCCGGCAGGCCGCGCTGGCGGCCTTTAGCGACTTCAAGCGCCTGCAGCGCCAGAACGACGCGCGCCACGTGCGCCAGCAGCACCTCCGCGCCGGGGGCGCCCCCGCCGCCTCGCTGCCCCGCGCCCCGCTGCGCCGGCTCCTCAACGCCAAGTGCGCCTACCGGCCGCCCCCCGCCGCCGAGCGCGGCCGCGGGGCGCCGCGCCTCAGCAGCATCCAGGAGGAGGATGAGGACCAGGACGAGGACGCGGGGCCGCGCGAGCGGCCGGAGGTGCTCAGCCTGGCCCGCGAGCTGAGGACGTGCAGCCTGCGGGCCGCCCCGGCGCCTCCGCCGCCCTCGCAGCCCCGCCGCTGGAAGGCCGGCCCCCGGGAGCGAGCGGGCCAGGCGCGCTGAGAGCCGGAGGTGGGGGGCGCGGGGCGGATGGACAGGCCTCGCGGCCCCAGAACCGGCGGGCCTGACGCGGAGCCTCCGGCCTCGGCTCTGTCCGCTACGGCTTCCCCGTGGTCCCCCCACCCCGCCCTTGCCTCCCTCGTGGTCTCTGTCCCCCCGCGCCTCATCCTGGCTCAGGGTGACGCCTGACATGCCCTTGAGTGTGGGGGGCGGCGAGCTGTGGGGGCAGCAGTATTCCGTGTTCGCCCCCCACGCCCGGAGTCTGCCGGCGCCCTCCACTGTGGAATTGCCTCCCCGACGCTTAACACCAAGTTGCTTTGCCCATAGGCCACGCCCTGCCTCCCCAAACATCCTCTCTAGAGAAGGGAGCTTAGGGAGGAGACTCTTCCAGAAAACCAGGAAGGTGGCCTTGGATCTTGGCCCCGGGGGGAGACAGTGGGTCTGCCCAGTGCCAGGGTAGCCCTGGGCAGGCATTCTTAGAGCGGGAAGAATAGTGGCCCCGGAGAGCTGAGGCCAGGCCCCAAGTGGCACCTGAGTCTACTGCCATACCACACAAGGAAGCGTGCCCAGCCCCTACGCCTGGCCTCTCCACCCCTTGGAGGACTTCTGGGACTTGGCTGCTCTGCCTGTGGGGAAAACGGGGATATTCCTACCACCCCGAGCAACAGACGGCCCGGGAACAGCCCTGTGCAGCAGGCCGCGGCCCACGCCTGTGTCCTGGCACCCGCAGGACTCCTCACCCTCCCTGTCTTTCTGCATACAAATGTGTGTGGGTCCCCACTCGGCGCCCCACAGCTAGGACCAAGACGTGGCCTCCAACGGAGGTAAGAGGACATCTGGCAGGTGTTTGAGGCACTGACCGCCCAGCAAATGGACAGGGGAAGGATGTCCCCAAGCCAAGGCTTGTCAGAGCCGGAGGGTACTGACAGCACCCAGCTTCTCACAGCAAGATGAGGCTGGAGAGTGCGGTGACCCCATCGAGGGAGTGGGCCCCTGCGCACGTGTCTTTTAACAAGGTCACTAAAAGCCCAAAGATCTATGTGTCACCAAATGATCATTGTAAATAAACCGTTCCTGCTTTTTCAGCCTGTCACCACTCTTGTGTTGTGCTTGATGCCAGGCCTGTTGACAGTGAAAAGATGATCATCAGACCCTTGAAGGGCAGGAGAGGTCCCAGGAAGCGTCCCCTGTAGCAGCTGGAGCCAACTCTTAGGAGTGGGGGGGGGATGAAAGAGTTGCTGCCAGGACCCTGTTCCCTTCATGTCAGAAGAGGAGACAGAAGCAGGTGCCTTGCCTGCAAATCACATGGGCTAAGCCTGGGAGAGGTGTCAGCTGTCTGTCTCGGGCTCCTGGAATGTCTGTCTGCCTGGGCACCAAACGCAAGTGTCTCTGGAGCATTTGGACGGGGAGGGGGCAGGGGGCTGGGGCCTTCTCATGAGCTGTGTATCTTTGAGAAGGGGTGTGTGTGTGTGTGTGTGTCGAGGCAAATGGTATTTGCTGGGTCTCCTTGAGGATGTAAAAGACAGGGGTGAGCAATCCAGTTTGCTTTCAGAGGAGCTGGAGAGGTCTATCCAGACCTTTAGGACAGACTGAGTCCTGAGCTTGGATATCTTCTTTATTTCTGTGCTGAGTTGGGCACTGATCCCAGGCTTGTCCAGAGCCCAGACAGGCGGCCTCTGCAATCACCCGCCACCAGGACGGTTCTGTGTCCTGCAGAACCGAGGGCACCCCTGTCACTTCAGCCTGGCGGGACGCAGGCAGGGTCAGGGGACTTTGAAGCGGCAAGCTGGGCTTGACTTCATCACATGTTTGGGGAGTGACAGGGGCCCGCTACCACTCACTGCGAGTTCACTGCTTCCCTCTTATCGACCTCCAGGGATTTGCTGGGGTTTCTCCCCATACGGAGAGATAGGAGAGACCCGGGAGCGGAGGAGGGGCTGCAAGCCAGCCCCTGGTGTTGGAGGCAATCTCACCCAGAAACACGGCCCCAAGCACAGCCTCTTTAATCAGAAGTGTGCAGCAGAAATGCACTGAACGCCTGCCTTGGGACAGGCGCTGAGCTAGGTCCCAGCGGTCCCGGAGTCCCACCCCCGTGGCTCATTCATTCCCAAGTGAAATGCACATAATTAAAGGAACAGTTGCAATGTGATAATTCACAAGCAGGCTCCCAGTCTTAGCCTCTGCGCCTCCGCTTGTCTCCAGCAGCCTGCCAAAACACAGACACACACACACACACGACTGCCTTCCTTCCCCAGTTCACGCTCTATTCTCTAGATCCGGAGTTACAGGACCAGACTGCAAGGACTGTCTGCCTCCTTCCAGCTGTGTGATGCTGGGTAATGCATTCAGCCTCTCTGGGCCCCGCCTTTATTGATGGTAAAGTGGGAGACAGCTGATTCCTGTTCACAGTCTGATTGTAAGAAGGAAACAGAATAATGTCTGTGGAAAAGCTTTGGCAATAAGACAATGCCCATATGAAAAACCACCATTTTACCCGTTTGTTACTGTTCAGTCACTAAGTCATGTCTGACTCTCTGAGACCCCAAGGACCCCCAGCACGCCAGGTTTCCCTGTCCTTCACCATCTCCCGGAGTTTGCTCACGTCTATTGAGTCGGTGATGCCATCCAGCCATTGCATTCCCTGTCACCCCTTCTCCTCCTGCCCTTAATCTTTCCCAGCATTGGGATCTTTTCCTGTTTTACCCATAGGATTCTTCTGTTTAGGTTAGGATTTTTAGTCTGCCTTCCCACGACCCCTACTCCACTCACCCCTGGCAATGGTGATTATAAGTCGTTTCTCTCTCTCTCTCTCTTTGCCACACTGCATGGTTTGTGAGTTCTCAGCTCCCCCCACCCAGGGATTGAACCCGGGCCAAGGCAGTGAATCCTAACCACTAGACCACCAGCAAACTCCCGCACCTCCATTCTCATTGTCTGTGACGGAGGGAGGCCCTGGTCCACCTTCCCTCTCACAGTGGAGGATGAGATAAGCCAAAAGCTGGCCAGTACAATGCCAACGGCCACCAGGCCCCAGAGGGGGTGTTGGGGGCAGCTCTAGCCCCCCAGGCCCCAGGCTTCATTCCTCCCAAGGGAGGGAGGTCCAGCCAGGGAAACACCCCCTCCTTCTCTGCACTGACTTTGCCTTTATCCCCTGAGCTTAGACACAAGCTCAAGAAGATCCCTGAACCGTCAAGCAAGCCATCCGGCGCCCGTGTCTCGTTTCCGGCGTCCTTCCCCCACCTGTAAAATAAAAGTGGGAGTGTTCTCTGAGTTCCGGGTTTCCCAGGTGTGCCCCAGGAGCTGCTGTGGGGAGTGATGGGGCGATGGAATGGGGAGGGCCCCCCAACCTGCTGTAACTGGAACGTCTCCTCTGTTTTCCCTTTGGGGTTCATGGGGTTCCAGTTGAATAATGGGAGCCTACCTCGCCATGTCATGTCCGACTCTTTGCTGCCCCATGGACTGTAGCACGTCAGGCTTCCCTGTCTCTCACCACCTCCCAGAGTTTGCCCAAGTTCATGGAAACCTGCAGATTTTTCTTTTTGGAGGTCTTTTTTGGGGGGTGGGGGGTAGGTTGGCCATACCATGCAGCATGAGTCCATGTAGCATGTAGGATCTTAGTTCCCCAACCAGGGATCGAACCTGTGTCCACTGCAGTGGAAGCATGGAGTCTTAACCAACTGGGCCAGAGAAGTAATGCTGGGATGTGAACGTGGAAATGGAGGGCGTCCCAGAAACAACACACAGCCAGGGACAACTCCAGCACTGTGCCTTCCCGGGAGCTCTGGGGCCTTATCTGCTGCTCCCTGATCCCACTCGGGAGGGGCTGGGCCGTGACCAGTGTGACTGGGCCGCAGCTCACAGCTCCAGCCACCCATGCCTTCCTGACTCCTGTTCCTCCCCTTCCATACACAGACGTGTTCCCGGGTCCCCAGACCTTGCCGTGTGCGCCCACGTCCAGGCCCAGGCAGGTGAGAATGGCAGGCATTCTCACCACCTCGAATGTCCTTTCCTTTGGCCGCACGTGTTCAGCCCTACCCTCTCACAAGGCCCAGTCCTGCCTCCTTGGAACTTTCCTTAATGCACACCCCTCCTCCACTCCTGCCAGATCCAGGGGTCATCTCTCCTCTCGGACTCAGAGTGGGGCCTGTGCTGTTCTCGTGGTCCTCATCAGGCAACACCTCAGATTCCTGTTTTTATGGACGTGTCTTACCTCTCATACTGCTTCGTAGATTCATATTCATTTCCCCGTCCCCTTCAGTACTTCTTGGTAGGAAAGTTATGACCAACCTAGACAGTGTATTAAAAAGCAGCGACATTACTTTGCCAACAAAGGTCAATCTAGTCAAGGCTATGGTTTTTCCAGTAGTCATGTATGGATGTGAGAGTTGGACTATAAACAAAGCTGAGCACTGAAGAATTGATGCTTTTGAACTGTGGTGTTGGAGAAGACTCTTGAGAGTCCCTTGAACTGCAAGGAGATCCAACCAGTCCATCCTAAAGGAGATCAGTCCTGAATATTCATTGGAAGGACTGATGCTGAAGCTGAAGCTCCAATATTTTGGCCACCTGATGCAAAGAGCTGACTCATTTGAAAAGACCCTGATGCTGGGAAAGATTGAAGGCGGGAGAAGAAGGGCATGACAGAGGATGAAATGGTAGGATGGCATCACCAACTCAATGGACATGAGTTCGGGTAAACTCCAGGAGCTGGTGATGGACAGGGAGGCCTGGCATGCTGCAGTCCATGGGGTCCCTAAGAGTCAGACACAACCGAGAGACTGAACTGAATTGAACTTCAACACCTTGACCACCACAGAGCAGAGAGTGAGGCTCCATAGTAAGTTGTTGAATGAACAGGTGAATGAATGAGCCAGACGGAAGAGCCATCACGGGATAGGAAACCAAGTGGGTGGAGGAGCATTCCTTCTGCCAGGCTTCTGCCTGGGGAGGCTGAAGGGGAGCTATCCTCAGATGCCCTGCTCAGGGGGATGGCTATTCTTGGG